TTTTAATCAAGTTTCTTATTTTACATATTGTTTTTAATCCTTCTTATCTTGACATAAAAAAATCCCATAAAACGGGGTGAGCAAAAACAATAAAAATTCTGTCTCTAAAAACTACAAATCAATATTACGATCTAGAATTATACACTAACAAATTATAATATATTTTTATAAAACTTATAAAAAACTATTAAAAAAAACTTGGTTCGCATATTTGTATGGATATTTATATTTTTTTAATATTATCTTTGTGTTAAAAAAAAACTATTTAACACTATTCTTTTTTATTATATAATAAAATAATAATTAAATATTATATGATGAACAAGAATAAATAAAACTGTTACTTTTTTTTTATATCAAGGGATAAATTTATATACTGAAATTAAAGTTTTATTAGTATAAATATTTTAGTGAGATAATATATTAATTAATTTACAAGCTAGCCCTAACATACTCATATTTAAGTTCTGGCTAAAAAACAATGCTGGTTAAAAGATATGAAAAAAAACTTATAACCTTATTATTTTTTAGACTTAACGTTGATCAAAAGAGGTAGAAAATAGATAATAACACTATTACTTTAAAGATTTAAACGGACAAGACTGTTAAAATAACTCATTTAATATCTATGTTCCGTGCATCTCACGGGGTACGTACTAGTTAAGCTAAACAATGAAAGCAATTAATGAAAGATGAGAGCTTGGAGAAATTTCTAGACTTCACTTGTAACGGAGTGCTCAAACCCGACTACCCGAGAAAAGACACAAATAAAGAGAAGCAAGTCATATTTCATGCAACTAGAACTAAAGTCGAACAAATGATTTCGATATAACCGACCTTTGACCAAAGTCCCAATTTCTCTCTCAAAAGATTCAAACATTAATCAACCAGTCACCTCAATAAGCAAGATAAAACATAAGGTAACATTTTTACCTAAAACCGAGCTCAACACAGAAATTACGAACGAGAAACTAATTTTACCTCTTGAACGTAAGTACGCGAAAAATAGAGCAATCGCCGAGATAATAAGTCCTAATCATTCTCAATCGTCTTTACACATCATATCAAACTAGTACGAATCTCGTGCGATGCACGAGTAAGAAATATTTTTTAATATTTATAAATTTAAAATTTTCATTAAATAATATTAACAATAAGAAATAAAAAAATAATATTTAATTTAATTTACCTATATTAATTTATTGAAATTTTATTAAATTTAAATTGTGCAAAATTAAACAAAACATGTTCTTAGAATATTACCGTTTGATCCGAAATCAAGGTGTTGACCTTCATATTTACGATAATTCAGTTCAATGAGAAGACCAAGCAGAAGATTTTGCTCCATGACTAAAAATTATTTGTGAGAAGAATCATAAGAGAAAATAGAAATTCTAATCCAAAATATTCATTTAATTCTACAAATTCATTTGTAAAACATGTTTCGTGTTTATAAATTCAATACACGAAATTCGTTGCTACATATGTCTATTTAAAATGAGTGACAACTGCCTGAAGCTGATAATAAATTAAATTATATTCATTTCAAAATAATTGTTATTTTAAAATTTTTATTCAAAAAATCGATTTTACTACAATGTGATTCTATAAAATAAATATTTAGGTAAAATTTTATCACATATTTAAAAATCTATGTGAATGATAAGTATACTTATAAATGTTATATTGTTTTCATCAATTAAAATGTATTTATTTTCGTATAAACTATCCAAATCCAAAAAATTAAGTAATTGAGTAATTGGTTAAACTATAAATAATTGACTATTCTATTTACGTCCAAATTAATTGACCCGTAAAGTATGGATAATTATTTATCTGACTTTGAAATTTACAATACACAATAAATTCTTTTATATATTTCACATTCACACAAACACACACACACACACATATTATCTCGCAATTTTTTTAGATTTATTGATTTATTATCATCCAAATTTATCAACTATTTATCTATAATCAAAATATTTAAATTTTATTAGCCAATATTTGTTCAAAGATCTTTTTGATTTACAAGATAAATACATGTCAATTTCACGAATTACCATCAATATTTTATGAAAATTTATTATGGGAATAAGCTAAATTTTGACAATCATATCACTTTGTTTTT